ATACCTTCATCATCCGACTCAGACTCATCAGAAGAGGCAGCTAGTGAGAATGAAAGTGAGATGCCATTTTGATCCATTGTATTGGAGTTTCCTATCACATGTGTGGCCATAATAACAAAGCAGCTGTTTTGTTTTTTGTTTTTTATGTCATCATGTACCACAGTAGAACGTTGGTTCTGGACAGTTTTAAACTCTGGTTTTCATCCACTCAGTGCCAGTGAAAGGTGGTGTGAACAACCGTGCCATGAGGGAGATGTTCAGGAGCTACGTGGAGATGCTGGTCAGCACAGCCCTGGACCCCGACATGATCCAAGCCCTGGAGGACACTGACGGTAAGAACTGCACACAGCACACACTACCTCCTCAGCATATTAACAATTAAAAATCGACCGACACATGGCGGATGAAAATAGAGTGAGAAGCTGTATTGAAACAGCTGCACATGACTTTAGTATTTTCCAAAGTGGCTTCAGGCATCACTGTGCAGCTTGGGCAGGTTGAGTAAACATCATCAGCACAGACAAGCAGCTGCAGCCAGGTTTCAAGTGAACAAGCTGCCCTTACGACTGGGGAGCAGGGGAACTGCTATATAAATCTGTAGCATGCATGTTTAGATGAATCTTTTAATAGTTTTGGAAATCCCAAGTAAACAAGGTATGAGAGGTTGAAGGGAAGCCTTGGGAATGCTGATAGATCAGCAGCCAGAAAGAGCTGCTCTGAATCTGCCCTGGGTATTAAAATGATTGGCAGCTGCATGAATGGTTGCTAATGAAATTTCCTTTACCTTTGATTGGCCATCAGATGAGCTTTACCTCCCACCAATGAGGAAGATTGACAGCATCCTCTGCGAACAGAAGAGGAGGTTGTTGAGGAGAGTCAGCATGAGCTCTCAGCAGCAGGTAACCTGTCCTGAATGTACTGTTTCTCTTAATCATCATTTTTCTTTTCAACTTTTTATTTGACATTGTTGCTTTTCCTTCATTTATATTGGAACTCCTTTTTACATTCTGTAGAATATGCTAGTATTTGTGGCACAGGAAACAAATATAGACTACTGTTTGGCCACTGGTGCTCCATAAGAACAGCACTAGACTCATTCATAAGCATTATGATTAATGCAGTGGTTTCCAGTGAAACAATCAGCAGCTTCATTGATTAATCAATACACAGAAAGTTAATTTGCAGCTATTATTATTAATCAATCATTTAAGTCATTTATCGTTCAAAAATGTTTCCAGATTCTCAGGCGTGAGGATTAGCTGCCTTTTTAGCTGCTTTTTTTCATTTCATGTCATTGTAAACGAACATCACCTTGGTTTCTGACATCAGTTGCAAAAATCTGGCAAAATTTTGTCTCCCTCTGTCGGTTTCTGACTTGTATCCTCCTTGTTCTGCCACTTCCTTGACAGGAGGTCCTGCATGCTTACCCCCAGATCATCGTAGACCCCCTTGACTCAGGAGTGGTGAGGGTGCGGCTAAGCGGGGATGCTTACAACCGCAAGACCCTCAACAGAGTCAAAAAGACCCTGCCTAAACCACAGGTGTGTGCGTCAGTGTTTAGAGAGTCGGGAATCTTTTGTATGATGATTACAGGTACCCTTTTGCTTCATACCCTTTCTCCTTTCGTATTAGATGTTGTCAAATATTCATACACTACCGAGACCTCTATGGATTGTCATAGGAGAATTTTAGTCTGTAACCATGTGATTCTCTCTGGTTTCTGGGTGACACTGAAACCAAGGCATCAACAAAATTAACCATTACTGTGTTTAAAAAACACTCAACAGTGAAGGGTGGATGACAGATGGCTCGCTGGGGCCAGAGAGGGTAACACAGTAGCAGCTTCCCCTCTAACATCTGCTGCAACTTTCCAACCCTGCTCCACTTTCACCCTTTGTTACATAGAACTGTCAGATAAATACTCCCAGTAGCTTTATTCTAGGGCTGTACCGAATAGTTCAGAACTGTGACATTTTTTGCATGTATATTTGTTCTATTTAAAACCTGTTTTTCTACACAGTTACAGATAAAGATTATGCTACGCTAATATCATTAGTACTATACTATTTGTATTTCAGTGGTGGCTGTGTAGGATGGATTTCTAACGGCAGAGCGTAGTGAATAGATAGATGTAATCATTTCCAAAATTCACAACATGTTTTTATCTAAAAGTATATTCTGCTTCAATCCGTATTTGTTTGCGATTAGCCGTTCAAAAACATTTTCACTGCATTAATCTCATTTGCTGCACACTAAGGGAGGCACGCACCTGTATTAGGAGGGCGGTCTAGCAGCAATGTAATAGCATCATAAATTACATTTATACAACCACAATAACAAAAAATCCATTTAGTCTAACAGTATTATAGTAAATTACGTAACTTGTTACAAAAAAAAAGCTCATTGTGTGTCTGCATTAGTGCTTAATCAAGACATCCTCACTTTCACGCCGACAACGGCTGTAGAAAGGTGTTAAAGAAATCGGCAGTTTGGAAGAACTTTAAGATTGCTGATGATGATCCTAAAAAAAGTGCCATGCCAGATATGCAAAGTGAAAGTGTTATACCATCATACTACCATGAATTTGGCAAATATGATGAGACATGCAAAGCTTTATTCGAAATCCTCCAAAAGAAAATTTGAATGCACACATTATACTTTTCTGTCCATTGAAGTAATAAAATTGGCTGCATCTTAATCTGATATTTAATCTTAATCTTTTGTGTTTTTTTTAGGACCTTAAACTGTCAGCCGATTCGTACCGGATCTACAGTCTCTACCACTCCCTACATCACTATAAATACCACACCTTCTTACAGTGCAAGAAAGAGGTAAGAAAACATGTTTGTAGTTCTGGTACACGCTTCTGTCATGTTTGACAAGTTTATTTAGATAGTGTTGACATTTCGGAGCTCGAGCTGTCACTACAGGCATGCATTTAGCATGTAGGTACTCAACCTCATTTGAATGCGTTTCCTTCAAATGCACTGTATGGTAAAGCACAAATCTCATTAGAAAGACTGCACAGAGACTGCTTGTATATGCTTTCATGTTCGGCCCTGGTGTGAGTCTTCAAATCATCTGTGTTTCCATCCCACTTTTCCAGACCAACACCATTGAGCAGGCAGCTGAGGATCCGGGCCAAGAGGAAGTGGTGCAGCAGTGCATGGCCAACCAGAGCTGGCTGGACACCCTCTTCAGCTCCTTCATCGAGCTGCTCACGCTCAGCACCAAACCCTGAGTCCACCACAAAAAGAGTGAGAATGAATGAAAGCAAGGGGATTTAAAAAGAGACTCAAAGAAAAAACAAAAAGGTAAAAAGAGATGGATCCTACTGTACAGCCCCCCACCCTCTTCACATCTCTTAGATCTGAGGATGAATTTTTAAGGCCCTTGACGAACACAAGGGGGTCTGTTCGTGTGACCTCGGACACTGGCCTCTGTTCTTTTTCTTGTTGTTGATCAATGACTAAAGAAATGTTTTACTTTGTAAGAAGGCGGACCCCACCGGATCAGGGGTCTCACTGGCTGGTCAAGAGGGAATTGACTGTTGGTGAAAAGTGAGTGGCGTGAAGTGCAAGAACAAAGAGGAGGAGCCGCAACACCAAGTCAACTGAGGAGCCACTGGCATCTTGTTAACTCTGTGTCATAAAGACGATAGTTCAAAGAGAAACTGTTACCACTTAGTTTTTACATAAATTATTTTTTGAAGACTAACATCAGCTGTTGGCTTTTGAACAGAGTGGAAGAGGGTGAGAATGCTTTTTAAACTGCGTGTAGAGTGTGCCGTGAGCAGCGTGAACATGGACTCGTCTACGGATAGAAACGTGAAATGTGTTAACAAAACGCTCTCTCTCCCATCCTGTGCTATGTGAAGGGCAGCACCAGGCCGCTGTGTGATAATATATAAACACATTTTTATTATTTATATGAGGAGGTTTTTAACTTAAACTCTCACAAGCGCTGGGTTGCTGCCCTAACATTTTAAATACCTTTTTATTTTCCACAGGTTCAGTATACAATCATAACCCACATATCCAAGCCGTCTTCCCCTCTATACAAAAGAACAGACATTGAGACATAAATATTGTATCAAATACAGTGGGTGTAAAATAACAACAAAAAGAATGGAAGAAAAGGAAAAAAGATGAGAATGGGGAAAATCTATTTGAAACTTAACATTGTTGTGGTTCAGTTCAATCATCAGTCATGCAGGTGCAAAGAAAAAGAAGTAAAATATCCATTTCCCATGTCGGGAAAAAGGAATATAAATAAGTAATATTTAAAGAGGAAATAGTCATTTCATTTTTATCATTTTGATGTTTGTGCATACTATGACTTATTTTGAAAACAATCTAATTTTCCATAAAAAAGGAAAAAAAGGCGTGTAAATATTGTACAGTTCTTGATGAAATTCTTTGTCCTTCTGTACATTAACTCTCCTGTATTTGAAAAACAAATAAAATCTGCAAAGAACAAATGGTGTTTCATTTCCCTACAGTGTGGGTGTTCTTTTACATCCATCTTTGTGAGGACATTTTGGCTGGTCCTCACATATTCCAAATACTTTTTGGAACATTGCTCTGTTTCCCCCCTTTTTAAAACAGACTGTAATACTTGCACCTACGACCACGACTTGAGGCTTCACAACTATGGTTCAGTATGCAACATGTGCAATTGTGATGTGGAACCTGAAGACCTCCAGAAAACACACTGAAAACTGAGAGACTTCTAACATCCAGTAAGTAAACTTAAAGGGAAAATATTTTCAGATTCTGATTTTGGATTCAGGAGGAATAAATTCTAATTGATTTGTGTTCTGTGGTATTTTTAAAAGTAGAATAGAGTATATGTCGTATGTCTGGAAGTGATGTTTAATTTAGGGGTGAGGTGAAGGAGTGCATTATATGAATGATTGTCTTCTTAAGTATGGAAATATAACCGTGTGTAGCCCCACCTAGCGCCCGGCTGGTATGAAACTCGCTGACGTCACATCTGGAAAACGAAACTGATCAAGGACTCGGAGTTTCCCGAGAAAGCCTCTGCGGCTTAGCAGCCGAACTCTTGCTTGGTATTTAAAGAGAATTAGCTGCTGGGATTGAATGCCAGTTTGTCAAATAGCTTCAGTTCCTATTACTCATACTTACAGTCACCAGCCGTACCGTATTTCTGACTTTTGACCCTGAAAACGACTCAACACCCACCTCCCTTCCCTCAGGTAAGAAAGCTTTAATGTGTTGTTGAGACATTTTTACGTGAATTTAAATCTTCCCAATGGTGCTCTGTTGTGAAATTGTAGGCTACCATAAAACCTGTGAAAAAACATGTAGGTTACAATTCGACACATTGCAAGGAGCATTGAATACATTTTACTGGAATAATGAAATACTTTGACTTTTTTAAAAGAAAAACCTCATATTAGAGTATTTATGGTATTGAGTGCTGAACCAGTTCAGAAATTGCAAATTCAGGTGATTTTTCCCAACTGCACCTTAGTAGGCTGTAGATATCGATATAATGTTTCATAATTTAGTGGGAGTGGGAAAAGATAAAAAAAAAAGAGAGCCATCCCTCATTCTAAGTGCGTGAGGACCTTTTAGAAAATAGATTTTCTACACAAACATGCAAAGGTTAAGGTTCTTTTTATTTTATTCACTCCCTTTTACATTTTTTCCTGGACAAATCCCTTTGTAAAACGACTAAATAACGCCCTCCACAGGCAAAAAGAATATTTTAAGATGGACCTGAAAATTCAAATAATATATTAAATAATTTAAATAATATAAACCTATAAATACACTGGATTAAACATCCAGCCCAGCTCTGCTTAATAAGGCATATTAATTATTCCTCCACCAGCTATAATCGTTGAACTTTTCTATGATTCTTTCTGTTTTTCACTGTTGCATTCAGTGAATATACTCTGGGTACTAATATTTACAAGACTAAATGTTTCATTTGGAAAGACATGAGTTTTAAATTGAATAGATGTTATTTAAATAAACTAATCTTAAATGAAAGGCAACAGCAGAATGTATAAATTATTTCTGGTGTCTGGGAATCATGTTACAGGTCAGTGAAAAAGCTCAGCCCTGAAGTATATGACAGCAACCCAGTGCAATGAGAAATGATCAGGGATGCCAAATAAAACCCTGATGATGCTGTTGTGTTGACCTGACATTTTTTTCTTCCTACTGCAGAAATGTCTCATTCTAAACCACTGCTCATCCCATGGCTGCGAGCACAGATTGACAGCGGTGCGGAGAGGTATCCTGGTGTCCACTGGATGAACCCGGAGCACACAGAGTTCTCCATTCCCTGGAAACATGGTTTAAGACAGGACTCCTCAAACTCTGACATTCTCATCTTTAAGGTAATCGTCATTGACGCAACTTATCCCTTGTATTCATGGTGCTCTACACAGAGACTGGTCTTTGGTGTAATTCTTCCTGCTTTAACCTGTTTCTTCCCTGCAGGCGTGGGCCGAGACGAGTGGCAATGGCCGGGCTCAGGGAGACCCCTCAGTCTGGAAGAGGAACTTCCGCAGCGCCCTCCGAGCCAAAGGCTTCAAATTGGTCTCTGACAACAAGAACGACACCGCTAACCCCCACAAAGTGTTTCGCTGGCCGGATGAGTCAGCATCAGGAGGTGAGGATCCATAATGATGGTCTGTAGATCATCACCATTTGGTCCTTTATTGTAGTCGATAACAGGCAAGTTTTAAAAAAGGACTGTTTCCTCTGATGAACTGTACTAAAAATGAGCCACTAACAAAAACAGTGAATTAGATGTGAATGTGACATGTTTTCACTGGCTTCAGGCATTAAAAAGACACAGAAAAAACCCAAGAGAGATTGTTCTCTTGCATGCAAAATCCAATCATTTAATTTCTCCTTTAGTTTTATTTATGCAAAATTATTCGCCTTGTGTCTTAACTATAATCTCAGGAAGATGGAGGCATCAGTTGGATCTTCATACTATTGTACTGCTAAATCAGATAAATGCAAAAAAATCTGGTGATACAGTAAGTGGACCAAAGATAATCAGTGAAGCACCTTTCTGCTCGTGTGGCCACAAACAATACATATCTGATCACCTCCTTACCGGATGTAGATGATCACATTACTATCTATCATGCACACATTTATCTGGATTTCTGTGTCTGTGGTCGAGATTTGTCAAGGTAATATGCATGATGTACCATGCATGCATAAATGATTTAAGGGCAGCAGATATTTACTGAGCTCCTTGCTTTCACTCTCAAAGCTAACTCCTCTGCTGGATCCCAGGACCAAGATGACCCCGATTTGTTTGAGAATATTGGCCTTCCTACACAAGAAGTAAGTGACTGTGATTGTGTGTTTGACTTGATGCTGTGCAATTATATAATGGCATATGAACTCATTCAGATGTGTGTCCGTGGTTTCTTAGAGCCAGGTTGACCCGTGCTTCGAAGAATGTCTCTATATTCCAGAAGACGCTTTGTTTTTAGGTAAGGGAGAAACTCTCATACTATTTTTTACCTCCTGACTCAGAAGGTAAATTTATCACATCATTATCATCATTTCTGAACTTATCAATATTTGCCAGCAGAATCCACTGCCGACCAGGATATTCTCCAGGAGTGTCTAAAGGGCCTGAACATTGGCCCTCAAACAGGTAGGCGTGCTCATCATGTCCTCCTCACTGCTGCAGAATGAGCAAAAAACAAGAGTATCCAGGCTACTTTCCTAGAAACAGTTATTTACTTTCTCCAACTTTTCCACAGAGGGCACCGCAGGCTTTGAGCCTCCTCCCGAGCAACAGCAGCTCCAAAACCCAGTGGTGATTGGTGGACACGCGTTGCCTGGGCAACAGCAGTATCCAGTCATTTTTGAGGGTGCCGTCTGTGAAGCTGGGTTGCCTGAGCAACCGGCACATCCAATGGAGGGAGCCGTGGGAGGGGCCTGTGATGGGCAGTTGGCGGAGCAGTTCCTTCACACCATGACCAAGACCAGTGATGGAGATAATTTCAGTGAGTTGATAGATGTCACTGTAAAAACAAAAATAGTAATTTACACAGAACGACAAAAAGCACATCCCTCACATTTAAACAAAGTGGCCTGTCAATATAATATCGGTCGGGAGTTGCAACAATGTTTGAAACAGGAGCTGATAAACACTTTTTCTCAAACACTTCTCCTCTTTGTGAATCCTTAGAGACTGAATTCAGGATATCAGTGTACTACAGAGGGGTGAAGGTGTTTGAGCAGCAGGTTGAGAATGAAGCTGGGATCCGCTTAGTTTACAGGTAACATCAAAATAAAGTCTAATGTCTGACAAATGTTCATTATCCCCAGCTTAGCTTCAAATTGACTGTCATAGTTAAAGGCATAAGTTTATTTTTGGAAATATGCCGTTCTCTTTCTTGTGGAGGGTGACTCATGTCTCAACAGTAAGAATGTAGATGATGCCATGTAGCATAGCATAAAGACTGGAAAGCAGGGGGTTACAGCTAGCCTGGCTCTGTCCAAAGGTGTCACACTCTGCCTACCAGCTCCTGTAAAGCTCAGTTATATTGTGTTTAATTTGTCCAAAAAGTATAGAAAGGACCAGGCTAGCTGTTTCCCCCAGTTTCCTCTTTTTGTGCTAAGGTAAGCTATCAGTCTCCTGGCTGTAACTAAATATTTACAATACAGATGTGAGAGTGAATGTTGCCAAAATGTCAAACTCTTCCTCTAATTTTCTCAGGGCTCTGCCAGGCATTAAACCTGCCATTCAAGTTTAAATCTAATGAATAAACATTGTCTTTGCATCAGGCCCGAACTCATCGGGACAGTTTTTGATCATGAGTCAGGCCTTACCGTGGTCTCTCTGCCAAGTCCTGGAGCCATGCTGGATCAGACCCAAGCCAATCTGACCCAGCGCATCCTGGACAAGCTGGGCGACGGTTTGGATGTGGGGGTGTCCGGCCATGTGGTCTACGGCCAGCGACTGGGCGAAACCAAAGCATTTTGGAGCTTCTCCAAGTTTGACAGCAGCAGACAACCGCAAGAAATTTCTAAATTGCAGCCTCAACCACTGTACATGTTGAAGGACTTTGTGCGAGGTGGGTGAAAAGGCTAAGTGTGTAGCATGTTGTTGCAAATACATGTGGCGCTTGATGTAGTGACTGATTTCCCTTGCCCTCTAGGAATATTGGACTTTATTGAAGGGAAAGACTGCCCTCCCTGCTCCCTGTTCTTCTGCCTGGCGGAGAAGTGGCCCGACCCAGACAACAAGCCTTGGGAGAAGAAACTTATCACTGTGGAAGTGAGAGAACCTTTAAACTACTGAAGTGCACAGACAGTATTGTGCTTAAAGCAGTTTTTCAGTCTGCCAGAGAAGGTTTTTTGTTTGCTGCACATACCTCTATCAAATTTCATGAGTGACCAAACCACCAAAAATTGCCCACTCAAGGGAGCTGTAGTCAGCAGCACTTTTCAAGAGGCAATTTTGTCTCAGTATTGATTAATGGCACCGAGGGAACAAAGCCTGAATTCCAGTGGTGACAGCTGCTCCCTCGGGTGTAAAAGGTTTTTCTGCCCCCGAGCCTCTACAGAGTGCATGCTGAGGAATGAAAAGCGTATACTTTATAAAGTTACTTGAAAGAAACCAGCTTGACACGTCTCATTGCGCTGAAATTTGCCATCTCGCGCTTGTCATTGCATCTGACTTCTGCTTCCTGTTTTGTTTCTGTCTCAGGTGGTTCTGACTTCACTGGAGTTGCTGAAGAATATGGCTGTTGTAGGCGGCGCCTCCTCCCTGCAGTCTGTGGAGCTGCAGATGTCACTTGAGGAGATGATGGAGACGTACTGACGCACTTTGCTGTGCCTGAAGAGATTTATTGTTTACCGCATTTTTTGCTTAATCCTTAATCTTGATGACAAGGTAGAGCATCTCAGAAACAATCGTGTGGATGTTTTCTGAACATTTTGGATATTTATTCCACACTAAATAGATCAGGTGATAATAATGGTATTAATAGTTGCTCTGGTGTTGGATTTTCTGGTTCTGCATAAAGGAACAAAGAAAATATATTCAAGGTGCAACTTGCACCATGTTTAAACATAAATATGTGCTTTTAAATTATTTCCACATTGATATTTTTAAATAAAATAATGAGACTATGATCAGGGTGATTTTACTGAATATTTCTTTGATATTATTGTTGCTAGCAGGGTATATACAGGAATCTTGAAGTAAAATTCAATACCTTTTTAAGACCTTTTCAAGACTTTTTCAACATATCATAAGACTGCCGCGCCACTTTGAGCTAACCGATTAAATCAGCCACACACCTTTAAAAGGGACATATTTGAGGGTTTAAAAGGAATTTAAGTATATTTATAACATATTTATTGCCTATATGTCATCAGGTTGTAACGCCATATAAAAATTGAGGCATTCACCAACTTTCTCAGATGCCTATAACAGCCTGTATGGGCCAACTGTTTTCTATGTGAAGGACTGGTCAGATTTCCTGTGAAAAGCAACTGTCTTACATAAGCTATGATGTTTATGTACACAACATTATAGCAAATCATGTGAAACACAGTGTAATTTTGTGTTTTAGTTGGTTTAAACTAGATAAAGTGAGCTTCCCTGCAATGATACGTGTGATAACTTTAATTGACCACTTGATCAATACAACAAAATTCAAATAGGCCAGGAGGGAACAAAGAAGATGAGAATAAACTGAGCGTAAGTAGTGTAGGCGGTGTAGCACAGGCAGAACCTGGAGGAGGAACTAGTCTAAATGACTGTATTAGTATAGCCTAATATTATAACATTAAATTAAAAGTATATTGTTAATGTAATAGTAAACTTTAAGTTTGATATTAATATATTCATTATGTTACTATATTCAATAAAATTTCATATAATAGTATATAACTTACACAAGTATAAATATTAATTCAAATTACAGCTGTTTCAGTTTGGGGTTGTTTTTTATTCATTAACTTTGTGCAAGAAAAATGCTCTAGGCTACATGATAGTCTCCAACCTTGATTTTGGGCAGACTACTAACTCGTCAATCATCATAACTGCAGAACAACATTTATAAAGTTTGTTGCAACACATTAAGATTTTTTTTTAAATCCCGCTCTATCCAGGCTGTGATTGATCTGTTCACAAAAAGTGACATTGACGAGAGCAACGGCTTTATGAAAAGTCGCATCTCGCTCTTGTTTTTGAGGAACGGGGCTGTTCAGGTGGCCACAGAGCGACCGGCCAACCGGGTTAATCCCGTTACTCCTGATCGCCACTCCCGACTATGTTTTGGACGATTAACATTGCGGGTCCGGCGGGGTGGGAAATTACGGTCGGTTGTATACGTAAATCTTTTTCCGGTTCGCATGGATCTATTTTTTGGAGCTTTTAAGAGTGAAATAGGCGCTCGGAAGATCGCTGCACCTAACGTTACAGAAACGAATCACACAGTCGCTACTCTGCCTGTCTAGTATTTTTGGCTATGCATTATAAATAGTACGTTCATCTACACTTTTAGCAAACAAACTTTTGGACAAACAGGATTTTCACATTGAAAAAAATATCTTCAAATTTTAATACCTTGTTAAATGGCGATTAAGACTTTTTAATACTTTTTAATGGCCTTAATTTTCGTAAAATTGATTGATCACCTTTTAAGACTTTTTAAGACCCCGAGGGCACCCTGGGCTAGTGTTTTTGGGAATAAATACATTTCTGAGATAACTGGACTGTAACGTTACTTGCACTTTACTGCACATGTCACATTCACGCCATCCATACACTGATGGCAGAGGCTACCATGCAAGGTGCCAACTGCACATCAGACAGAAATTAATACATTCACATACATTCATACATTGCACAGCCTTCAGGAGCAATTTTAGGGTTCAGTATCTTTCCCATGGTCACCGCGGCACACAGACTGGAGGAGCCGGGGTTCGAACCACTGACCTTCTGATTAGTGGACATGCTGCTTTTCTGTTCAAATAAATAAAAGAGCTGTCACTCAGCACAAGAGGTAAACAGTAACTCCTTTCACTCATTCTACATTCCACCCTTTACGCATTTGTGTTGAAATAAGTGCACTCCAGTTTTATGCTATAAAGTAAAAGATTTCCCTGAAAAATATCCAGATGATGTGCAGCAATGTGCAGTGTCATCCAGAATCTGTCACTCGTCCTGGTCAATAATCTTATTTATACTTGTTTACAGAAATCATGTGAGTAAAAGTGGTAATTATCTGGATAAATCCCCACATGCAGTAACATGTATTTCTAGTTAAAAAGTCTTTAGACAAAGTCTTTGTTCCCTAAAGATCCTCTCATCAAAACTGAAAAATACTGTGGTACAGTGAATGTACTGTAACTCTGCTGAATATACACCTGAGCACAATCTGAGAGAGTTATGTAGCGCAACACACCAGAGACTGTACAGGGGAAAGTAAATATGCTGTGCAGATGTTTATTTCATCTTGCTGTATTTCAGGGTCACAGCTAACCAATGCAATGTACGAGACTTAAACTATACATCAAAATACACGTGTATAAGTACAAACAGTAAGATTTCAAGACTGTATTCAAATATTGGAGGATATTATCATGTAATTACCAATTTATTCTACTATAAATTCTATGAAATTAGCCTGAGTCCAAAGAAGAAGAAAGAGTTGAATTCACTCGGTTTTAGAGTGGCTGGCTGGGTCTGGGTGAGAACTACATCACCTTGTTTTTATGTCGTCCACACATTTACAGCACAATGAATATTTATGCACTGTCAAACTTTAGAAATGGGATATTTACTAGAGGAAATCAATCCATTGAATGGATTGGACTTGTTTCAGTCCTTCTCTCCTTCCTCTGTTTCTCCGTCAACACCTGACTCAGACCTCCCCTCCTCAGTGAGGGAATTTTCCCTCAGTCCCGACATCGGGACCAACTTCCCCTCTGAATCCACTTCCATCGGCTGGATGATGTTATCTCTGCAAAACAAATGAGGGGTAAAAAACGTGGACCATTTATGAATCGGTGTTAACGGTTCTGAGCCAGATTTGACACACAGATTTGTCACCGGTTTAAGACTTAAAACCATTAGCCAAAGGTCATTGATAAGAGATACTGTATATTATATATATAATATACTGACCTCGACAGCTTGTTGAAGAGCGTGATCAGCCTCCTGGCCTCCTCCTCCTTCTCCTCCTCTGTCATGCCCTCCATGGGGTCCGGCTGCTCGGTCTCCACCCGCCCCGTCACCGGGTTGACGCGATCTTTGACCTGCCGGTACTCCTCTGTGTCCGAGTCCGAGTCGCTGGAGTACTGGGCATCAGAGCTAGGGGTCCTGGACCCTCCGCCCAGCAAACCCCTGGTGGCCAGCAGGCCTGCAGCGTTGCCGTAGCCTGTGTACTTGACAAAACGACTCACTGGAAGAAGAAGAGTGAGGGTGGTGAGTGGTGGAGACAAATTATCGTACACACAGACATTAATGTTGATGAAAACCATCTATCAGGTAGGTAAGCTATGCTATGCAAAAAGAAAATACAAGATGAAAAAGACATTTTCAACACCACACTGAGTACTAATGCATGGTGTGCATAAATACTAGTGGAGAGCCCAAAGTTTCCAAATATGCCAGGCTGAATTTTCCAGAAATGTATATAAAACTATATACAACATTTTTTCCCCTAATATCTTTATCATGTCTTTCTGTTATTAATTCCTGCTCTGTTTTGTACCCTGGGGGTCTTTACTGTTGCTCTCTGCCTCTGGCTTTTTCATGTATACACGTGGATGGGCAGGGAGGTGCTCTCCCTACCTTATGGCTTTTCAATAGCCGCATTGAAGGAGCCTCCAAGAGCCTCCAAACCTAACTTACTGCAGTGCAAATATCCGTTTCTTTGATTGAAAGTTGTCCTGACAGAGGTGTGATTTTGTTTAACAAAAGTCACAGTAATTCATTGAATTTTAGAGGACATTTAAGGGGAAGTGGAGGATTTAAAAAAGACGAAAACAATGCTGAGGTTTAGTGGAGAAAACATGTTGAGATTTTTGCATCTTTACCCTTTTCCCCCCATTTTTCCCTCAAGTTTTTAATATCAAGATGAAAGAAAAGTACATCCTACGTTCATAGTATGATTTGATCATTTAAATTTACAGTAATATAAACAATGCCTGTAACTCCAGGGAAAATGGGAATGTCTGGCCTTACCATTTTCCTTGCAGAGGACAAAGATGAGGTCAGCAGCGCAGTGCTTGAGGTCTGTATCCAGATGAGTCATGAGACGGATAAGACGACTCTTCACTGTGGAGCCCTCTTCTGGCCTGTGTGATACATCTCTCAGAGGAGGCAGGATCTAATAACGGGGATAAATTTCAGTTGTCTTTAACGTTTGAAAAAATAATGTAATCCAAATATTGTTGAAAGCAGTATGTGACATGAGCTTTCTTTATGATGTTTTTTGAGGATATTACATGTTTCCTGATGTAACGGCGTGTTTCTCTGTGGGCCCTGCAGCTCTCTGTCAGCAGATTGAGGATCGGTGTCAGCTTCTCTTTGATCTTGTCACCCTGAGAAGGAAACAAACAGGAGAAGGTCTGACTCAGGTCATTTCAGTATGAGCGAAAACATTTCCATTTTAAATTCATTTAGCTTGGCCACAAAGCATTCAGCCCCTGCTCTAAATATTACGTTCTCCCTCACCGAATCCAGGCGTCTCTCCATAAACAGCACCAGGGCGTGAACACAGTCCATGTTAACCCCCTGGTACTGCTGAGAGTCTGGCTCCAGGGGCACCCTCAGCAGCACATCAAGACACTGGAGAGGCAGCGCTGACAGCAGGTTGACTGTGTGACTGTGGGATTGAGAGAAGATTACAGGAAAAGAGTGTAAGAAACGGCTGTATTTCTTACGGAAACTTTCCATTATTTTTAACTTTTATAGAGGAGTAAGCATCCTGACTGAAAACATCACCAAGTAGCATGGTATGTGCATGGCCCAGGACAGGACAGCTCTGCACAAGGTGACTGACAGAGCATCAATGATATCAGTGAGGTACCTGCGCAGAGCCCAAAGAATACTAAAAGACAGCCCGCAGCTACAGTCTGATCACCCTGCTGCCATCTGGCAAGAGATACAGAAATAT